CAGGCAGCGGAGTGCTGCACCGGCCCGCAGCAGACGCTGCGGCGCTGCGGCGTCGCCTCCCGCCCTGTGACACGGAGCAGACGCACGGCGGCACGGCCTTCCACCAGCTGCAGGAGGTGCGCACCTCCCAGTGGAAGCACAGGGTGCTCCCTCAGCATACGCAGCTTTGCGCAGCGCAGCGTACGGGCCACGCCACGCAAAGCCGACCCTCAGTCTGCCCGAGAGGCTGTCTGAGGAAGGCCTGGCAAGCGCGTACTCGCCTCCTCCGCGGCCATGCCCTCCGCCCGGGCGAGCGAGCAACGCGAGAGGACACAACCCATGCGGGAATCGTGTGTCCCCCCCGCTAACAATTTTTTTTCTCTGTCCCACCGGCGGCCCGGCGCGCCAGTGCAGGAACCCCGTCGCAGCCACCGTTCTACTTGGCCGCCATCGGCCGCCGGGCATCGCGCGCCGCCAGGATGGGGCGCTTTGGCGTGCCGGCCGCACATAATAAGGTGGGTCACACCTTGTTGTTGCTTCACGCTTCACGCCACCCGCGGCGCTGCACAGCTGGCCCTGCCGCTCGCCTCGCCCGCGCGTGCGGCGACCTGCAGCGCGCTACGTGCCTGCGCGCTCGGGCCACCGCAGCAACATCCTGCCCACCCGTTGCTTCACCAACACAGCCGCGCAAAACCGTCTGCATTGCTCACCACCGCCATCGCTCGCCGCTCCCACGCCCCGCCTCCAGATACTGGTGATGACGCTGATCAATGTGTCCAACCTTTTCTGCCACTCGCTCTTTTCAATCCTGCCCGCCTTCTTCCCTCAAGAGGCCCGCGCCACGCCCAAAGCCACCGAGCCGCCCCTCTCCAGGCATCCCTTGCCACGTCCTGCTGATGATGTGCCCACGCGCAGCGGTCGGGTAGAGGCGCTCCGTATATCCTCCGTACACCTCCCCTCTCCCCGTCTCCTCTCCGCAGGCAAAGTCCAAAGGCATGAGCGACGACGCGGTGGACTCTAACAAGCCCTCCAACGCCCAGCCCGCCACTGCCCTTTCCGCCACCGCACACGCGCCCACCACACCCACAACAACCGTCGCCACCCTAACCGCCCCACCTCGCTTCGCGGCCGCAACTCATGCTGCGAGCCAGCCCGTCGCAATCACTGCACCGCTCAGAGTTTTGAAAGTGGACTTGACCGCAGGTCGGCATCGTGTTCGCGTGCTTCCCGGCCGTCATCTTCCTCACGTCGCCCTTCGCGGGCCCCTTCATGTCGCGGCACGGCAAGAAGTGGGTCTACACCACCGGCCTCGTCGTCGTCGCCATCTCGACCATCTGCTTCTCTGTCGCCTCGTACATGCCCGCCGGATCGCCGTTTGCCACCTGGTGCCCCCCCCCAAACACACACACACACGCGACCCTCTCTGAGGCGCGTCGCGCCGGCCGGTCGGGCTGGGCGGAGAGGAGGGGCCGGCCGCGTCTCTCCACACGTCGAGTGCAACCACACCAAGTGGTTGCTGTCCATTATTGTATTATGATACACCGATCCCGATAGGCGCCACCCCCTGCGTGGTCTTATCGTATTGTGTTCTATTCCATCGAGTGCATCCACTAGGTGCTTGCTGATCCGGCTGACGCAGGGACTCGGCTCAGCGATGGAGGAGACCGCAGCGTACGCCCTGATCGCCGACATGGACACCGACAACGTCTCCACTCGCGCAGCTTTCGCCGAGTTTGCTCAGAGGACGTCCCTGCGAAATCCCGGATCATTCCACTCCCAGGTGTCTTTTTTCATGGGTCTCACGGAGATCTCGACCGGGCTCGGCTACATGGTGGGCCCCCCGCTCGGCGGGATGCTCTTCGCGGCGGGCGGCTTCGCGACGCCCTTTGTGGTGCTCGGCTTGGCGCTGCTGCCGGCGGCTCCGCCCCTTGCTCCGACCCTCGGCCCGGTATTTCCTGATTTTTGCCCGAGCTTGGTGTGTAGGCGGCGGCGCTCATCTACTATCGGCTGCCCCCGGATGACCGAAGGCGATCGAGCGACGACGCGGGCGGCGTCTCGATGAAGGCGCCGAGGCGATGCGCGCCGAGATGGAGCCGGGAGAAAGCGCCGCAATCAGCGCGCGCGTTGCTGCTGCGCATCGCCCGGGCCGCTCTCCATAGCAGTGCCTCTTACATTGCGTGCACGTTGCCAGGCGCTGCTGCGCAATCCCCAGATCTCGCTTATCGCGCTCGCATCGATGCTGGCTCTCCCCAACCAAGAGTGTGCTGCAAGTCCCGTCAGAAGCCCCTCAGATCTCGGGGAGTGCCCGCCCCTAGGCCAACTCTGACTACGCCTTTCTCGAGCCCACCCTCGCCGACCACGCCAAGGCGCGCGGGCACGCATCGTCCGAGGCCTCGATCGGCCTCCTCTTCTCGATCTCCTCCGTCACCTACACCCTCGCGTGCCCGTTGATTGGCAGCCTCGCCCGCCGTAGCACCCCTTCTGTCGAGAGTACAGACGCGGTTTCGACACCTGCCGCACGTGCATGTCCGTAGGCATCCTCGCCAACCGGCAGCGGTGTGGCCCACGGCCTATCATCGTCTCGGGCAGCCGCCCGCCGTCCGCGCTCCGGTCCCGCCCCCTCCTTTCAATCGCTCCCGTCGTGAACAGGCCTCCTGCTGCAGCTGCTCGGTTTCCTGCTGATTGGCCCTTCCCCGCTGCTGGCGCTGCCGAGCGGGCTGGGCTTGCCGCAGCTGTGCGCCGCTCTCGTCCTCTTCGGCGTCGGCGAGAGCATGAGCATGACGCCCGTGATGGACGACATGATGGCGTCGTGCGGCGAGCACGCCGACGCGTCGGTCGACTCGCTCTCGTCGCCTGCCCCTGATTGGAACTTTCCCTTCACCCTTTTGGACGCTTTCCCATAGGTCAACTCGCTCTCGTCGGTGCTCGCCGCTTCCTTCTCGCTTGGCCAGGTGACCCTTTGCCCGGATCCATTTCTGACGCCGCTTCGCCCCCTGAACCCCCCCTTCGCCCCCTGACCCCCCCCCCCCTCCTCCCGTTCCTCGTTCTCCCTACCGCCAGATGGTCGGTCCGGTCATCGGCACCGCGCTCACTTCGCGTTTCACTTTCCCGTGGGCTTGCACCCCTAGATGCTGAACACGTGTGCATGTTCTTTTAGTATTCAGCCGCGCAGCAGCCAGTAGAGTTGCCTTGCACTCATATGAGGCGCCAACACAGCGCGTCTAAGATTCACGCCGCCCGGTAGGCGTGCACGGCGATGGCGCTCGTGCTGCTGGTGCACACGAGCGCAATCATGCTCGTCGAGGTCCTCTCGCCGAAGAGGACCGTGCGCGAGGGCGCCTACCAGGAGCTCAGCGCGGTGAATCCGCCAGAGGTGGAGGTGGCGGAGGATTGACATAGTTCACGTCTGTTGCACACCTTTGACGGCATTGAGGAGTCACAGTCAGGAGAGATCGGCGCGCGTGGGGGGTCTCTACACACTGGTTTCTCACCGACACGCAGTTCTTTAAAAGCTCCAGAGCGCTTGCTTGTCGAGAGAGTACGCGGGGGTACGGCGGGTGCGGAGAGGCTGCAGGGTTCGTGATTTCACATGGAAACAGCGAATCGGTTTCACTTTCACTTTCACTTCACATTTCATGTGAAACAAAATTTCACTTTTTCGAGCGAGTGTGAAGAGTCGTGTGAACGTGAATGATGACGGATGCTCCCACCGAGTTCCGACCACTCTGACACTCACTTGCACAGGTGTTGGCTCCCAAGCAGCAGCCAAGATGAAGGAGGCTGGAGATATTGGTCTCGCTGAGCTGATGTGTACACTAGACCTATATGAATCTCATGGCATGCTGTGGGCGAATACGGTGCTGATGGTGGGATGAACTCTCTCAGTGCAGTCGAGAGTCGACTCCGACGCATCGGGAGGGCGGCGGCGGCGGTGTAGGGGCGGCGGCGAGCTCCCGGTTGCAAATACTCGCCTCACAGTCCAAGATGGCGGCTCGCGCCCCCATCCGTGCACCGGCGTGCCACTCTCTAGTCCCGCCTGCCGCCCAGATACCGAGGGCGGGGCGCACTCTTCGACTTGGGCTATTATTTGCCACCGGGAGGGCGGCGGCGGCGGTGTAGGGGCGGCGGCGAGCTCCCGGTTGCAAATACTCGCCTCACAGTCCAAGATGGCGGCTCGCGCCCCCATCCGTGCACCGGCGTGCCACTCTAGTCCCGCCTGCCGCCCAGATACCGAGGGCGGGGCGCACTCTTCGACTTGGGCTATTATTTGCCACCGGGAGGGCGGCGGCGAGGCTGGCGAAGAGGAGCGTGAGGCGGAGCGCCGCTCGCGGTCGCGCGTGCTGCAGGCGGTGCATGGCGGCCTCTGGCGGCAGCGCGTTCGCGTGCTCGTCGGATTTGGCGTGGGCGTGCTCCTCCTGACCCCGCTCGCAGTGACGCTCTCCCCCGGCGCCGACGCAACCTTCACCTTCTCTCCCGACCCGGCGATGCAACGCGTCATCGACATCGCGCGCCGCTCCGGCCCCGACGGCCTCTTCCGCGCCGCGGAGTCGCCCGGAGGGCCAAGGCCCACGCTCTCCCTCTCCCAGCTGCCGGCCGAGGGGCCGATCCGCTACCGCAAGCTGCTGCGGGGAGAATACTTGCCGCCGCCCCCCCCACCCGACGCGACTGTGTTTGCGTTGCTATTAACGCCGCTCTCGTTGTACGACGCCGGACTCCTCGCCACCCTGTCGCTCGCCATCGCCGGCGACACCCGCTTGTGGTTCCTGCAGCCTCCCCCCTCGGGGGCACCTGGCCTCGCCCCGGCTTGCCTCATCGCCGGCGCCCTTGTCGCCGCGCTCAGCCTTTACACTCTCGGACTGGCCATCTGGCGATGTGACTTTGCGGCACGTCACTACCCGCTCCTCGGCAACTTGCTCGGCGCGCTGCTGCTGCTACACGGTGCCCCCCCCCCCCCCCCCCCCCCCCGCCTCTACCCTCCAAGCTACGCACGCTGAGGCTTGGGTTCACCTCGGCTGATATTCTGCATGTAGGCGCCCTCTTCTACAAGCTGGCCCGGCTGGCGGCATCCGGCGGCGAGTGGCTCGTGCTGCGCCCGACTGCCGCCATGACCCGTTCCGATGAGGCGCCCCGCCGGCTACTGGGCGTCGCCACCGCTTGCGGCATCGCCGGCGTCGTCGTGCTCGTGATTGTCGACGGATTCCTCCACCCAAGCTGGCGCCTCGCCGGCGTTGAGCTCGGCCTGGGCTGGCCGCTCAGTTGGGGATGGGGGCCATCGGGCCTCGCGCTGCTCCTCGCCCTCGCACTGATCTACGACGGCCTCCTCGTCCTCTCGGCGGCGCGGCAAGCCTACACGGGTGGTACGGGTGGGGCCTCTGACGACTCGCCCTTCCAAATGCAGTTGCCCACCGAATGCAAAGAATGCAGAAAATGCATATGCAGCTGAAATGCAGTTGCCCACCGAGTGCAAAGAATGCAGAAAATGCATATGCAGCTAAATGCAGTTGCCTCTCGAATGCAGAAAATGCAGATGCACTATAATGCGTTCAAATGCCATGATATGTGTGATATGCAACACATGCAAAAATGCAAAAAATGTGCATGGGCAAAAACCACACGCATTTTTGGGCAAGAACCACAACACACCCGGTTGCTAGCCCGGGGCGTCGATTTTTCTTGACGATTCCACTTTAAAGTAATATATCTTTACTTCCAACACCCGGACGTTCCCAGGGTGATGGAAGGTTCGACGCACCCCCGGACTGGGCAGAGAAATCCCAGGAAACAAAGGCCTGGGCACTCCACCCCGCCCCCACTTGCCCTGACTGCACAGGATTGCGTGCCCCGACGAACGGCGACACATAGCGGGGGACACTGCGCCGGGGGGTATGCCTAACTTTGGTGCTTTGTGTGGGTCGCGTTCCCTTGGTAGCTGTGTGGCTGAAGCCCTCGTGCCGCTGGCTTGCCCCTTCCAGCGGCTGGCCCCTCGAGACTTGGCGGTAGGAGGGGGAGAGGGAGGCCCGGTGGGAGGAGAGGGAGAGGGAGGCCCGGTGGGAGGGGAGGGAGAGGGAGGCCGCCTTGGGCTCTTCTCCTCCCCCCTCCCTGGGCTCTTCTCCTCTCCCCTCCCTGGGCTCTTCTCCCCACCTGCCTGGTACTCTCGGCCTGATTACCGGAGCGTCTGCTGGGGAGCAGACGCTGGGGGGACACTCTCGCCCGAAGGCGGTACGCACGACCCGGAGGCGTGGGGATGGGGGGGCGCCGCGCCGCCGCCGCCGTGCCGCCTTCTCCCGCTTTGATCTCCCTCAGCTGCTTCTCCTCAACTCAACCTGTGAGCTTGAGGGCGGCGGGGGTGGGAGTGCTCTCGGGCGGCGTGTGCGAGCGCGCGCGGCGCGAGATCTCCTTCGCGAGGGCACGGTGGGTCGGGTGAGTATCTCGCGCGCTCGCACTATTTCACGTTATATGAGGCACTGCCCTTGAGTGCCTTTGCAGAACCGCCACTGCGGTGGTCGAACCGGTTCGCGGTTCGAGCTGGGACCTTTTGGCTCCCGGCTCGCGAAACTCGCTTGGAGGGTTGCTTCGCTCTCGCGGAGCGAGCGCGGGCGCGCGGGTGCGTGTGCGCGTGCGCTGCTGCAAGGCGAGGCGAGGCGCGGCGCGGCGCGGCGCGGCGAGGCGGGCGGCGGCGGCTCGCGATCGTTCCTTTTGCCCGGGTGAGGCGTGGCTTGCGCGCCGCGTGGTGATGACGCCGCACGTTGAAAAGTCCTTGGTGAGCCACCGCGGTGGCAGCGAGCCAAAGCAAGCCACCTGCCGCATGACGGGTTGACGTAGAAAAAGAATTTTTCCGATTCCACTTTAAAACGCTGGTGCAGATGGGGGTTTCTCTATAGAAGTCGGAGCGTTGCGTCCAAGGAGCGGCAGCGTGCGGCTCCGTGGATGGACTCGGCCATATCCCGCGGGTGTGAGGCGGCGGGCCGTCCGAGTCGGGGAGGCAACAACACAACCATCCTCGCGGGTGTGAACCCAGCCAAGTAGGGGGCCGATAAGTCCGCCCACACCGACTCATTTGGGGCGGGGCCCTTCAAGGGCCAACTCTAGTACCTAGGTACCCTCATGACCTCCTGCGGTCTCTGAGATGGACACCAGTGGGTGTGGGACCACAACCAGGATACACTCGAAGGCTGGGTAAGCAGTAGAGGTCGATACTCGACGCGTCCCACATGGTCTGTGTCGCTGTCGGCACGCTGTCGACAGGACGTCGAGCGACACCGGTGGCAGTGCCACCCAGGAGTGGTCGGGCGGTCTCCCGTCATGAGAGAGCCACCATGTGATCCGTATGATGATTCCTGACAACCGCCTCAGTCAACTTTCGTCACAGTTCCCGCTCTGAGAGGAGCTGCGGGTCAGTTCGACAGCTGGAGCTGTGTCGCCGGCGTGCGGCGGCCTGCCTCCGGAGGTGCCTCTGAGGTGGACATTTTTTGGTCACCGTGAGAGAACGCGTTCGAATTTTCACTCCGGAACTTCAACTGAGCACGCGCACCGGCCAGGGCTACAATAGAGTCAGTGAGGCGGAGGCGCGAGTCGGAAGGCCGCGACCGTCAAGTGTTCCCTTCATTTTCCTACTCGAGTACCTAGGGTCGATGGGAGTGCCAACCCCACAATGCCTAAAAACCCAGCCCAGTATGCCAACCCTTAGTCGGCCCTTCCTCGTGGTCGGCTTCGGAGGCCCCGTAGCCCTAGCCGGAGCTAAGGGGCCCGGCTTTTTCTGTGTTAACCCTAGGGGAAATCGCTACGGAATAGGGTTCCCCATCCCGGCACCATCGTGCATCGAGCGGCGCCACACCGATGGAGGGAGTCGGCGGGGTTTGCCATTGGCGGGCCGTGAGGGCGCTGAGAACTCAAGGGACAAGGCTGAGTTTTTGCTCCACACTTTCGGCGCGTGGCGGAGTATACATGACTTTGGAGCTTATGCGAGAGGTGGCGAGCGGAGCAAGAGCGGTGTGCGCGCGCGTCAACGCCCGTGCGCGGCGGCTCTCCCCGCGCGACCAGACTCCGAGGATTGCACTCCCCCGCGCAGCAGTACGGAGGTCTTGAGGGGCAGTGTACTCTCATGTGGTCAAGGTACATTGGGTTCTACACAGACCCAGATACTCAGAGTCTGAGTCAGATCCCGCTCCCCCCTCGCGCTCAGGGCTGTTGCTGCTGCTCTTGCCGCATGGCCGGCTCCACCCAAGGGGGGAACGGCGCCTCGAAATCCATACCATTGGCAGCGGCTGCGCCGTGTGGTACGACCGCTGGCTGCCTCGGCGGCGGCTCCAAGGCTGCACCCGCCTCGGCGGTGGCCGCAATTCGGGCCACGTCCACAAACTCGCGTGGGAGCATGTCCACTTCCGCCTGCGGCAGCCGCCGCAGAACCTCCCGCACGCCGACCGCCTTGCGAAAGAGCCAGTGCCGCTCGAACTTGCGCGCGGGGTTTGGCGGCACGTGCGGTCCCCCATTATCATCGCGCAAAAAGAGCGCGTGGCCGAGCATGTCGCTCGGCGCCTGCTCGCAATCGATGACGTGCGCGTGCGGGTCGGCGGCGGCCGACACGTCGCCGAGGCACCAAGCGCAAAACGTTGTGGGACAGCGCGGGCACTGGAGGGCATAGCACTCAGCGAAATCCGACTGCAGCGCAAACGGTGCGCGGCACCTATTCAAAGCGCCGGCTCACGACCGTAGCGGCGGCACACTGTACCCTCTATAGAGGGGCGGCACCCGGGGCACTTTAGCGAGAGCAGCTCGGCGATCTCCAGCCGGGCGTTGCGCACGCGGAGCTGGGAAGCGTCGAGGCTCGCGAGGTTGGACAGCTCATGCTGGACAACCTTGGGATGCGGTGGTGCGACACGGCAGAGAGTGGGAGAGAGGGGGCTGGGAACGCACGGCAGAGACTGTGGGGAACGGGCACCTGCCGCAATCGCTCCTCCGCCTCGGTCGCCAACCGCTGCTCGACGAGCTGCCTGCGGCTCGAGAGGTACTCGTCGAACGCGTCGTCCGAGAGGTGTCGTGCCAACTCCGCGTCGGCAAAGTACGAATCCGCGTCGCACCCGTGCGGCGCCTGTCAACGACCCGCGCGTGAAGCGCCGTGGCGACGTGCAGAGCGGCGGTGAAAGATGGCAGCGGCGCCATTGGACACCGCACGCGGCCCTCGCGGCGCGCCCGCTCGCGCAAATCGTCGACCGATGCGTGGTGCACGTGATGCGAGAGGCACTCGTCGCACGCAAAGTGGCGCCCGGCCGCGCACTCCAAACCGCCACCCACGGCATGCACGTGCGGCGCGTCGCACAAACAGAGGCAGCACGTGCGCTCCTCCTTCGCCCTGCCACCCCCGCCTCCCTCAGCGGCGGAGGCGGCCGCCAACTGCTCAAAACACGGGTGCACGAGCGCCGCCGCCGCCGAGGGCCGCGCCGCGGCGCTGCGCGCCGTCATCGCGTCAAAGAGGCCGCAGAGGTGCGGCGAGCGGCCAAGCAACATCTCCGATAGCGTGACACCGAGCGCGTAGACGTCCGACGGTGCTCCGGGCCTCGCGCCTACGTATCCAACGGCGGCGCGGCCTCCGATGAGCCGGACGTGAATCAGCGTCTATTGGCTTGCGGCGCCTCCGGCGAGTAGCTCCGGCGCGAGGTAGCGCTCGGTACCGCGCAGCGTGAGCGTCTCGGTGACGCGGCTCGTCGCGTCGAGGGACACGTCGAAATCCGCGAGGCGGGGTCGCGCCGCGTCGTCCACCAAGATGTTGTCCGGCTTGATGTCGCAGTGGTACACCTGCTCACAGCTGCACGCGTGAAGAGACCCTCCTGTGCAACTCGGCGACGGCCGGGCGCGAGCGCCGAATGCGCGTGCAAGTGGGCGACCGCGGCGCACAGCGCCTGCACGAAGGAGGCCGCCTCCACGGCGGTGGGCGGGCACGCCCTCCACCACTCGCGCAACGTGCCGTTGCGGTAGAACGGCATCTGCAGATGCACCGTCGTGTGCGCGTCCGTCACGTCGCAGAAGACCGCCTCGATCGGCACGACAGCGGGGTGACGGAGGCGAAGCAGCAGCGCCGCCTCCTTGTAGCAGTTGCGGCGCCCCTCCGCGTCCACCGCGTACTCCTTGAGCACGACCGGCCGTCCGTCCTCGAGCTCCGCGTAGCGCACGGCGTGGCGGCCAGCGCCCGTGCCGAGCGAGCGCAAATTCGAGTAAACCTTGAGCGTGCGCTGCGGGTGGAAAATCGGCAGCAGCTCGCGAGGCGCTGCGTCCGGCAGCAGGCGGTGCAGCTCTGGGAAGAGGGGGAGCCGCGCGCATAGAGACGCGTGGACCTGCGAGAGCTGCCGATCCGCATCCCTCGCGGCGCCGGTCGCTGCCTTCACGGCAGCCTTGGCGGCCTCCAAATCCTGCCCCTCGAGACCGTCCTCCCGCGCGTACTTGAGCTCGAGCAGCGCCTACTGGAAGCGGGCCGCCGTGCCGTGGTTTCGGCCGCAATATGCACCATTCGCGCCACGGCCCGCGCGGCGCCGGCTCCAAGCGGCGCTGTGCTCGCTTGCAAGCGAGCCGCGCCGCCTCGAGGGAGGAGGGCAAGTCACCGCAACCGTTCCGCAGAGCGAGTTCCTCCTCGGTCCTCTCCGCCGTGAGCCGCGTCAGCGCTGCGCGCAAATTGGAGAGCCGCTGCGCGCGCGCCCGCCGAGCTGCCGCCTCATCGCTCGCGGCGATGAGGAGCTGCTGCGCCGGCAGCGATGCGTCGTAATCGTAGTGGAGCAGCAATCCCTGCGGGTCAACGAGCGTGGCGGCGGGGAGGAGCGGCGTCGCCTTCAGCAGCGCCGCCTCGGCCGCCTCAGCGACGTACGTGCAAAAAGCGCGACGCACCGCTGCCAACCGCGCAGCCTGGTCGCCCTGCACGCGCAAGCCGCGGGCGAGCGATCCGATCCGCGCTCGGCGTCCGCCCCCGTCGCCTGCATCGGCGCCGCGCGGCACATCCGGCAGCTCAACCTGCCCGAGCGCGCGCGGGCCCTCCCCTGCAGCCTCCCGCGCGTCGGCGAGGAGAGTGTTCGCAGCGGCGCTCGCCTCCGCCGCGCTCCTCGCGGCAGCGTCGAGAGACGTCGCCGTCTCGCACCCAGCCATCTCGAGGAGTCGTGCCTCAGCCTCCCTCAGTGCCGCCACGTGGGCCTCCCGCGCCGCATCCCGCGCCGCGACGTGCTCGCTCAGCTCGCCTGCCTCAGCGTTGATTCGACCCTGTCGCTCGCGCAAGCGCTCACGGCTGCCCGTAACCGCATCGCCGGCCGCATCGCCGGCCTCTGCTGCCGCACCACTACGAGCGGCAGCGGCCTCCTCCTCCACCGCCGCCGGTTCGTAGAGCAGCTCGTACAGCTGCGCGACGCGGCGGGCCTCGGGTGAGAGGCCGGGAGGCAGGAGGCTGGCGGCAAGGGCGGCATCCCCAGCGGCCCCAGCGGCGAACAAAGACGCGGGCGGCTCCAGCTGCTCGAGGCTCGAGAGCAGCTCACGCGCCTGCAAGGGGGGAGAGTAAGAGCGGGCGGTGAAGACCGCGGCACATCGTCTTCAGCCTCGGCGTGGCCACCCGTTCGAGAGCCCACCTCCGAACGGCTATTCGCCGCTCATGCGTCAGTTAGTGGCCCGCGGGGCAGTGAGTGGCAAGGAGATCAGACTCGGCACGCAACGTGCAAGCAGCCGGGGGCGGGCCACACGCACTGGTCGTGTTCGACGAGTGGCGGATCTACTCTCGGAAGTGTCTCGGGTGCTTCTTGTGGCATCTGCGACTAGCGAGCGCCGCGTGCCAACAGCCCAAAGCGAGCACCGACTCGTCGAGGGAGCGCGCGGCGGCCCAGAGCGTCGTGCACGCCTCGGCGGACGCAATGAGCAGCTGCTGCACCACCTCATCTCCGGACGGCGCCCCTATTCCGCCATCAGAGATGTGATGACTAGCCGACCGCGCCGTGCGAGAGGATTAGGATAGTCACCCCCACTGCCCGCATCTGTCGTCGCCGCCTCCGCCGCGTCGCCGGCCTCTGCCGCCGCCGCGTCGCCAGCCGCATGTGGACCGGCGAGTGGAGAGCGCGATGCTCCCGCTCTCCGCTCGCCGCCGCCTCTCGCTCCCCCCCCCGCCCCCCACTCGGCGGCCCTTTCACAGCGGACCGCCTCGAGGCACTCCGACACAGCCTCGCCGAGCGCGCGCCCCGTGGAAGCCGCCACACCGTCCGGGAAGCAAAGCTTGACGATACCGTGGATCCCGCCACCGGCACAAGCGTCGGCGTCCGCGCCAATACCGTCCGCCACAGTCTGGGGTGCCGGCATGCGCGCCGTGTCCTCGGCCGACGCAGCCCGCCCAGCATCGGCAAGCAGCCCCTCTCGAACGGCAGCAGAGGAGGCGCCGCCTCGGCCGCCGCCGCCTGCTCTGCCTCCGCCGTCATCTCCTCCCTCGCCTCCTCCCAGCAAGCGCAACGTGGCGGAGAGCGCGGTTCGCACTGCGGCCTTTTTCGCCGCCGTCCGCTTCCTCGCCGCCGCAGCGCGCGCGCGCCGGCGCTGCCACGCATCAAAATCCTCGAGTGCAAGCTCAAAATCAAAGTCGCCCTGGATGAAGGCAAGGTGAGGTAAACGCTGGGTCTAGCGTGGGCTGGGAAGGGTCTCGGATTGGTATCAGGGAGGATATCTGTGCACCTGCTCATCGGAGCCGCCGCTCGACGAGCCTATGAGGACAGAGGCGGGGGTGCAGCGAAGAGGCGTATGATACAGCGACTTTAGCTGGCCACGCGTGAGCTGGGACACGCCGGAAGGTGGGGTATGGACGACTCAGCATCTAGGCCATCGGACCCCAGCGCAGAGAGAGGAGATTGGACGGCCGAACCAGCAGCGGCGGCCCGCCCGAGGCGAGAATCACGGCGTACCTCCCCTTGGCGGCCGAGTAGCTGAGTATCGTCCCTCGCTCTCCGTTCAGGTCCGGCCGTGAGCCGAGCCCGCAGATTGCCGCCCGCGCGCCCGTCTCGAAGCCTTCAGGTCCGCGAGTCGCACCGGCGCATTGGCGCACCGCAGTGGCAAGCGCGTCCGCCACGCCGCGCAGTCGGTCCGCCTCCTCCGTGACGGCGTGAGCCGACCGCATGTCGGCAGCGGCCCATGAGGCTCGCGCCTCACGCTCGGCGGAAGCGAGGGCTGTTGAGAGTGACGCCCAGGCCAGGCTACGGCGCGATGTGGCGGGGTCTGACAGCGTGACCCGAATCTCCTCGATGCGGCTTGCCGTATCGGCTGACACAAGCGACGGCGGCAGGCGAACGCCCTGCCCATGCACCGCCTGTCGAAGCTCAGCCGCCAGCGCAACCACCTCTTCGGACACCGCCTCGGAGTGAGAAGCCGGCGACGCGCTGATGCTCTCGAGCTGCTCCAGAGCGACGAGGAGCGAGACGATGTCGCGGGAGGACATACGGTGTGCAGCAGCAGCTGGTGGCCGCAGAGGCTGTGTTCACGCTGTTGTCTTTTTTTTGGGCAAGGCGTCTATTCGATGCTCTGCACGTTAGCTGTCCGGGAGGCGTCCGGGAGGCACCTCCCGGACATCAAATGGGGCCGCCTGGTGGCCTCCGAGCGCCAGCCGAAGCAACCCTCGTCGTGCCCCGACACCCCCCCGACTCATGCTGTGCCGCTCTTGCCTGTGTGGCCGCTGACGGCGGGGCCCCGTGCGCGGCTGCGCCGAAAACTCGTGACTGCCGTCGTCACACCTGTCCACAGATGCGACGGGTGCCTGTCCGACCGCGACAAACAGGCCTCGTAGCGGATCGCCAGCCCGCCCTTTGCCTCCGCAGACGCCTAGCCGAATCGTCGTTACCTTCCGCAGACCGAGACTTCCGAGCGGGCGCGTTCTATAGATGACGGTCACGCCCAACTCACCAGCCTTGTGGCCTGAAACCGATTCTGAGCCCTGCCTCCGCCGAGCGGGTATGGCCGCTGCCCGGCGGCCCGCGGTACGATTCGGTCCCGCCACCTCCCCGCCGTCCCGGTTCCCGCAGGTGAATTATTGCGATTTCGCCACCCTCCTCGCCGCCCTCTCCGCCACTGTCGCCTCCGCGCTCTCCTCCGCCGTCGCCGCCGCCCTCGCCTCCACCGCCCTCTCCGCCACCCTCCCCGCGGCCTTCTCCACCGCCCTCTCCGCCGCTCTCTCCTCCGCCGTCGCCGCCGCCCTCGCCGCTGCCGTTGCCGCCGCACTCCTCCCCGCTGCCGCCAAGCATGATCGGCCTCACCCTCCCCGCCGCGCCGTCGGTCTCGCCGTCGCCGCCGCTCTCTCCGCCGCCGTCGCCGCCGCCCTCACCGCTGCCGTTGCCGCCGCACTCCTCCCCGCTGCCGCCGTCGGCCTCACCCTCCCCGCCGTGCCGTCGGTCTCGCCGACGCGTCGCCTTCTTCCGTGTCGCTGTCGCCGCTCCGCCGTCCGTGTCGCCGTCGCCGCCTCGGATCTGTGGCGGCGACGGCGACGGCAAGCGAGCTTGCTGCGGGGAGGGCGAGACGGAGGAAGGCAGCGGCGACGGCGACACGGACGGAGGCGGCGACGGCGACACGGACGGAGGCGGCGACGGCGACACAGACGGAGGCGGCGAAGTCGACACAACCGGCGGCGGCGGGGAGAGCGATTCCAACGGCGGCGGCGGCGACGGCGACAAGGACAGAGGCGGCGAAAGCGAGACCGACGGCGGCGACGGCGACGGCGACATGGATTGAGGCGGCAAAGGTGAGATCGGCGGCGGGGATGGCGAAACGGAGGAAGGCAGCGGCGACGGCGACACGGACGGAGGGCGAAGGCGACACGGATCGGTCTCGCTTTCGCCGCCTCCGTCCGTGTCGCCGTCGCCGCCTCCGCCGTCGGATTCGCCTTTGTCGCCTGCTCCGTCCGTGTCGCCCTCGCCGCCGTCACGATTCGGCATACACACAGTTTGCACATCTGCAAGTTCTTCTTGATGTACACGGCGGTGCAGCCCCTGGCAATTAGCGGGCAGCTCAAGGCATCGACGCTCTCGCCGAAGCCCCTGTGCCCGGCACTTGCCGCCGTTTTATTCGGCGCAATGGCCGGCGTTGAAGCTCCGAACCCAGGCGCAGCCGAGCCCGTTCAGAGACAACACCAACAACCTCTTTCACTCATTCTTAAAAACAGTACCGGCCGGGATTTCGAAGATAGTGCTAAAATGGATACCTGGAGAATGGCATTTAATTTCGCGGACCGGCTCTTTTAACAATCAGGTCATGTCACCGCTTAATGTGCATGTGCGTGGCCTACGTCAGAGACCAAGTGACCAGCCGTCCCGGGCAATTTGTGACCCGTCTACGCCCCCTCGCGCCTCGGGCGCGGCCGGCCGCCGCCGGCCTGCCCCGTTGACTTCCCCGCCGCGCTAGGCGTTCGTTCGCAGTAATCTGGCTTAGTTCAGAGAGGTCGGGTCGTCTCTATGCGTATCACAGCGCGGCGCTGGCCTGCGCATGGCGGGCATGTGGTCGAATCAGTCAATCATCCCGACATTTGATGTTAGTTAGTGCCAAAACCGCGGAACCGAAAATGGCGTTTAATTTTGCGCACCTGCTGTCCGCCGCCTGCGGCGGCGCTGCGCGCCGCCTACGCGCGCTGCGCGCGCGTTTTTTCTCTCTTTTTCTGTCTTTTTCACAGTGTAATTTTACCAAAAAAATGCCTTTTTTTTTTTGAGAGCGCCTGCGTTGTTAATAGTACAAACCCAATGGTCCTCTGCGAGCGGTCCTTCGTTGCAGTCGCACACACGCACACGCCACGCCGCACCGCGCGCCCGCCCACCGCCCCGCCCAGGCGGGAAAGAGGTGGGGAGATGGGACAGCGAAGGAGGAGCACGAGCACGTATGGGAGGGTTCAGTAATGCGCCACGCTGCCCGGCGTCTCTCACTTTCCGGGACAGCCCCGCCCTTGTGAGGCGGGAAAGTGACGGCTACCCCGTACGCGCCTGCCGCTCTACTCGTCGCCGACCGCCCATTCTCCCCTCCTCGTTCCCCCCTCGAATGCTCCGGACCCCGACAAGCCGCCCGACGTTGGGCCTCTGCCCCGCACGCTCCCGCCCCTCTGCCCCTCACACACACCCAGGCCCGACATGCACATACAAGACAAACCCGGCGTCCTGCTCTCAAAAGAAAAAGAAAAAAGGGAATGAGGAGACCAGCGGGGGAGACTCCCCGCCTATGCAAGCCCCAGAGAGGGGCCGCCATCGCCGAAGCTGTGCCAAAGCATAACTCCAAAACCCGCAGCGGCCCAGGGGGCCTTGGGGGCAGCCTGCCGGACCGCCGCTGCACGGGGCTAGGCACCAGAAGATGAGTGGAATGGATGAATTGGGCCGTTGTCCGTGCCTCCCCTCTATACGTCAGAGTGGGACCTACGCCGCGCCGGGTAAGGGGCGCGCCCGGTCCTCGACGGAGCCGCGCGCCCCAAACGACCCAGGCGGTGAGTAGTCGTCCTCGAACCTTCGACTTGTAGTCGCCCGTGGTTAGCGCCCCTCCTCCTTCGCCCGTCCCTACTCGTACTGCTCTCGAGGCGCCCGCGGCATCTCGCCGCCCATCTTCGGCCACGCGTTGTAGTCGAAGATGGCGGCGTTGCGCCTCGCGACGATGGTCGAGTGCACTTGCAGGAAGCGCTTGCGCTCGCTACTGACCCGCCATCGTTCGCTGTCGGAGGACGCCTTAGCGGCCTTGATGTCGAAGTTGGTGTTGAACCACGTCGCCGCCTCGTGCCCGATGCCGCCGCGCGTGCTCGCCGCCCACGTCATAAAGTCGCAGTTTTTGGCGTCGCACGCCGCTGCCTTGGCCTTCCGCTTCGTCTCCTCGGCGTATTCGGTGGCTAGGCGCTTGCCGCTCGCCAGCGGGCGCAGCCTGTCATGGTGCACCGCGGTGACGCACGTGCCGTCGTACACCACGGCGCGTGCCGACTCTGCATAGTTGCCGAAGACGCCGTCGCCCCGCTGGTACGGGTTGGTGTCCGGATCGTGCGCCCGCGTCGGGTCCCTGCAGCCGAGCCTCACCTCCATGACCTTTGCCGAGGCGCCGAAGGCGCGTGCGACGTTCGTGACGTGAGTGTTGAGGGATGCGTGCCCCGTGGCCAACCAGCCGCCGTAGTTGCATCCGTCCCAGTGCGTGCCGCTGAGGTGCTCGAATAGCGACAGCGTGCGCGGCACTCGCGCCTCGCCGATGTCGCACGGGACGCACCCCGGGAGCCTCGTGCGGTGGTAGATGCACACCGAGTTAGGGCCCACGCCGACGCAGCGCGTGGCGAGGGTGATGGCGCCCTTGGGGTGGTTGAGGTAGCCCTGCGCCTCGTGGAGCCACGCCTTGTCGTTCAGCTCGACGTCCTTGTGGACGACGTCGATGCCGAGCACCGCGCCTGCCCCGAGTTGCTTCGTCGAGCGGAAGTGCGCTCGCGTCGCCAGGTGTACCTTCGGGTCGTTGACGATGGCGTCGAACATGTCTTGCTGCAGGGCGTTGTTGGCGACGTGCTGGAAGTGGCGCCCCGAGACCTGCTCGATCCCCTTGTAGTCGACGCCGCCGCTTTCCGGACCCCCTGTGCCGCGACTTTGTCCGTCGCCCTCCTTCGTCTCGCCCGCCTCGTCAGGCGCAGGGCCGCTCTCCGCCTCGCCCTCCTCGTCCAGGTCCATACTCGAGAAGCTGCCTTGCGAGTCGGGCTGCCCAGACAGGGTGTCCTGCGAGCTTGCCTCCCCTACCCCGTCCACGTCCATGCTCGAGAAGCTCTCCTGCGAGTCAGGCTCTTCGATCAGGAAATCCTGCGAGCTCGCCTCCTCTTCGGGATCCCCGGCCTCCGGGTCTTGGGGCTCCGAGCTAGCCCCCTGTCCCGACAGCTCGCCCCCCCCGCCTCCACCCCCCCCCTGGTCTGTGTCGGGATCCGAGTCGTCGCCTCGGTCCGCAGCGTGCCGAGCCCGGCTGGCCGGGTGGTCGTTGCCCTCACCAGCGCCAGCGGGGGGGCGATCCCCCCCCCCCCCGCTAGGTCCTCGCTGTCCGTTGCGCTCTGACCGCCGCTACATTTGTTTTAGGTGTATTGTTGGCAAATCAAGACACAGAGCTCACACAGAATCACCGCGACAAGGAGGGCAAACCCACGGGGCGAGTGGACTGCTTCAAGGCCGTCGGCACCTTCTTTGGCGACCCTGAAGCCTGCAAAAAGGAGCTCACCGCGCACCTCAGGAAGAAGCTCGCGCCGCTCGACACGACGTCATCGACACGATCGTCGACACTGACTGCGTCACGAACACCTCGCAGCTCCGCCTCAACCTCGTCCAACGGATTGCCTGTGCAAAGACCAAGTACATTGCCGGCATCACGCCGCCCAATGTCGCGTGCGAGGCTCTCGAGTTTGCGCACAACCGCATCCGCAAGTCCTTTGAGGGCATTGCTCGCGCCGACGCCTCGCACCAGGCGCTCCGCGACCTCGCGTGGCTCCAGGCGCAGCTGCCGACCGAGATGGGCGGGTGCAACATCGACACCGCCTTCACGCGAGCCGACAGCGACTTCTCCATGTCGCTCCTCAAGAACTGGCGCACCCTCGTCGCCCACAACCCCGACTTCGCCCTCGACGAGGGAGGTGCGTCCAAGTACCCCGCCATCGCCGCAGCTATCGCCACCTACGAGTCCGCCCTCTCGGACTGGAAGGAGGTGTGCGAGAAGCGCACCGCCCCCGACAAAAACAAGTACCACACCGTCCGCGGCGGCTACCTGACTGAGTTTTACCCCAAGAGCGTCCCGCTCCCCGAGCCCGAGTCCCTCCAGCTACCGACGCGATTCTCAATGGCACTTGCAAATCCACGTACCCGCGGCCGCGGGCGCTCGCTGCCATCAAGAATCACAAGGACTGGTACGCGCCATCAAGAATCACAAGGACTTCCATCAGCGGCGCCAAAGCCCGTGGCGCCCACGGTGCCAAAGTCCGCCAAGCAAACGTCATCAGCGGCGCCAAAGCCCGCCAAGCCAACGCCACCAACGGCGGCCAAGGCACCAGTGCCTGCGGAGGCGGCTCGCAAGGCAAAGGCTGCGTGCAAGAACACTGCGGTCTCGCAGAGAGAAGTAATGTAATGCGCAAGAGCGAGAGCCAGAGCAAGAGCAAAACCTCGAGCAAGAGCAAAACCTCACAGTCGAACGAGATGGGTCCGGAGATTGTAGACCTCGCACAGTTGGAGAGGAATCGGAGAGGTCGTTCAAGAACACTCGACGATTTCGGCGTCACTAGTAGTGGCACTAGCCAATCGTGGCGGAGGTGGCGGCGACGCGCGCACGCCAAGGGATCGGGCGCGAGAGACGAGGCGGCACGCGCAGAAGGGTGCACCGGAGTGCCACCGTCACTCACACCCGCCGCCGCCGTCCGAAGTTCGTGCGAGGGTGGTGGAGCGGTGGGAGCGCTCGCGGGTGAGGCTCGTCGGTCGGTCGAGTGGGCGGGTGGTGGGGGAGGGCCGCCGTGGCCTCGGCCGCGGCCGAACCGCGCGGAGCGGGCCGCGGGGCGGCGCAGGAGGCGCCCTGGCCGCGGCGGCGAGCTGTGTGAGCTGGCTGGTGAGCTGGGGTCGGACAGTTCAGCTCGCCAAGCACGGCTTTTGTGTGGTCAGTGTGGACGCCAACCCGGCAGTCTTCTGATAATACGAGCGTCATTTTGTACCCACCCCCCCTAGTTCGTGGGGACCCCCCCGCCGGTCGGTGGTCTGCCCCCGAGGTGGACCGGACCCCCCCTCCGGTCGGTCGCTCTCTCGGCGGCGGGAGGTGTGACGACCGACCCCCCCCTCGGTCGGTGTCCTTGCCGTGAGAGCCCCCTCAAACGCTCTCTCTCCCTCCTTCTCGCGAACCGCCACGGGCGCTTCGAAATCGCCGGTTTTCACTATGAAAACTAGTTACGCAGCCAAGCGCCAAGGAGACTTCTTCGCCGAGGCCCGAGCAAGCAAGCCCGACCCCACACATCTATGTGGAGCATCTAGGCAGTCGCAGGCCTGGTCCTGCTTGCCGTCGCTTTGTACAAGCTCTGGCCGCGCTCAAGCGGCTCGTCAACGGGTACAGTGTGTCGCCGGCGAAGCTATAATTAATCGTATGGACGACGACGACCAGAGTGTGGACATGGACAAGCTCGTGTTCCGACCCAATCCTGAGCGTCTCGGTCTCGAGCTCAGCCACTCGGACGACGAGGAGTGATTAGACGGGGAGAGGGCGCTTGGTCTCTTATTTCGAGATACTAATTTATTCACAGCTGCGGCGAGCGTGTGCGGTGTGTTGTGACCCTCGAGCCAACCCGACCGATCCCCCCCTCGGTCTGCGCTCCGACCGACCGGACCCCCCCTCCGGTCTGCGGTCTTCCGCGGCCGTCGACCGAACCCCCCCTGCGGTCGGTCGGTCTGCGCTGGGCGCTCAAACCGCGAACTCGGCCTGTTCACTACAAGATGACGCTCGTATAACTGCAGTATGGAAGATACAAAGAGACGGAGGAGCAACGAGCGCCCTGGCGTGAGCCAAAGACACTCCCTCCGTAGACACTGATCACACACGGGTGGGACAGGGTGGGTCACAACGAAGCACGAGAGCGTGCACGACAGAGCGACGGCGCAGCGTACTGCCGTCCAGCTAAAAAGCGGCGGCCGACGGTTGCTGCGCAAAGTGATCAGTTCTAATGAATGTACCGGGGCCCTATGGATAGATGAATCCGGGGCACCCTCCGCTCGAATCCCTGGCCAGGGGTTCGAGGCGGCCCCCACCCTGGGGCCTCCCATCAAAGGGACTGCTGCAGAAGACGCCCAATCTTGCACAAGTGCAAGAACCATACGTCTTCTGATAACTGCAGTATGGAAGATACAAAGAGACGGAGGAGCAACGAGCGCCCTGGCGTGAGCCAAGGACACTCCCAACTGCGCTCCGTCACCGGTGTCGCGGTCTCCCCCACTGAGGGCGATCTGCGGGGGGGAGTCGCGCCGCCGGCATGTATCTGTGCAACTGTGTTTTGCCTTGTCCCGTTTGATGGAGCAAAGTCACGGGCCGCCCGCGCTTGAAGGCGGTCGCGCCAGGCGCGGGCGGCACTAGTTGCCGGCGATCCGCTTGGGCAGCGCCCACGCTACCTTGCCTCTGACTGGGTCTCCATAGGTCGCGCGGCCCGAATGCTCGATTTGAACGTCTCGCAAGCTGGCGTCGCTCGCGTAACCGTGGCAGGGCGATCCTCCCTTCGGTGGAAGGGAGATCTCTAGCCTCCTAACGAGGTTGCCCTCCGCCTGGCTGTTGGCGACAGCGATTAACACCTCCGCAGTTGCGTCGGTCCGCGCCACAGGTAGAGACGTTGAGCTCGGCAGATGATTTGGTAGTCAGTTGGGCCGCCCCGCCTCGTGTGGCTCATGGTAGTACGCGACCTCGCCTTCGGGATCGAAGGCCATCGTGACCACACGGCCGTCAGCACCGCGTACCTCGGCGGGCGCGAGGGCGCGATGGTGCGCCGCCTCGCCGGGAGGCATGCTCGCGGTATGAGCGTTGAGGCGTTGCTCGGCGGTGAAGCTGCTCGGGTGATAGAAGGCGGCGCGGGCGCTCGGCAGCGGCCGTGGCTCGGCTGGTGGGACTGACTCCGGCTCCTCAGTCGTGAAGCTGCCGCAGTGAAAGAACATGGCGCGAGAGGTCGGCACATGGGCAGGCTTCAGCGCTGACGGCTCATTGGTTGGCTCATCAGTTGCCTGCGCAGCTTGCTGCTCGGCTGGCTCTTCATCGTCGGGCTCCGGAAGCGAGCCCCACGCGTTGTGGTCGCCGCCGGATGGTTGCCAATCGCCGAGCTGGCTGCTGTAGTTGGCAAGAGGGTGGAGCGCGAGCCAGTCTTCTGGCTCCTGGGTAGCGACAGGAGAGCCAGCAGGTGGCGGCGGCGGCGGTGGCGCGCTAGCTGCAGCGCGCACCTGCTGGGCGGGCTGAGCATCCTCGCAGAAGCGACCGCTGCTAAAGAAGTCGTCTATCTTGCGCTCGGCGTGGAAGCGCTCGCCGCCTTCGTGATCGTTCATCCAGTCGTTGTACGACTCTGTGCCATCTCAAGTCGCCCGTCGCACCAGTCGCGGAACGCATCGTACTCGTCAATGTCAATCGCGTCCTGGCCGTCCGCCTCGAGCATGTCGTTGAGCTCATCGAGGTCGGGCTCGCCGACGTCATCGTCCTCGCTGCCGTCCTCGCTTTCGACCGACGCCTCGGCGACTGAGGCACTGACTGTCGCCGCTGACGGCGATGCCACTGGCTGCGCTGGTGCTGCGTCTGCTTGTTGTTTGGCGGCAGCTCGCTTCGCACGCTTGGCCTCGTTGCGCTTGACCGCGTTGCGCCGGTCGGCAGCCGCCTTCTCCTCGCCGGTCATCGCGGAGGCCTTGCGCTTCGCCGCGGCAGCGCGAGAAGCCTTGAGCTTGTGTGAGATGGCGTCGGCTTGGGCCTGGCGCTGCGCTTCGTGCGCATCGGCCGACGTCGAGGTCGAGGCATCGAGCTCCGCCGAGGTCGAGGCATCGAGCTCCGCGCGCCCGCGCATCGGCTGCTTCTGCGCCGAGAGCGGCATGCTAAGGAGGAGGCACTTCCGCTGGTGGCAGTAAACCCTTATATCATAATATAATGAACGTCTTTACACACTCATCGGGCGGCACCGCTCACTGCAGAGCGCCGCCCTCTCGCGGCTCTCGAGAGCGAGTTTTCGCCAGACAGCCACACGTCCATTATGGCGCGCGTTCTCGCCGGACGGACGTTCGCCGGC